ATGGCATCCTGAATGGTTGTTGATCCATATTCACAGAAAGGACCCCAAATCTCTACACAGACATGGTTTGCCCTCCTCAACACAAGCTGTACATACATGTAAATGCAATTATCCTTAAAAGTCACCTTCAAGTAAGAGACACAACAGTATTTGCAGATTTATCTGAATTTCCTTAAGTTTTAGGTCCATTACCCATACAGACGGCTGGCTGCAGAGCCAGAGAAGTTCTGGCAGTGGGAACAGCCTGTGTAGAGCTGTTGTCTTTCTTGAAATGCCTCCAAATCACCAGCCTTCTCTAATGCAGGAGCACCACTGCTTTAATTCCAGTTCTGAGAACACACTAATTAGGAGAAAAGCCTCATGGCTTCACACCAATGTCCAGCCTCACAAACAAGGCTCAGCACACCAGAGTTCCCTCACGGTGGAGGTCTCTCAGGATGAGCTCGACTGAGCCCTGGTGTGGCTTTTCCTCCCTAGTCTGCAAGAACAGCCATATCACCACCACCTCTGGTCACCAACAAACAAGGTCAGTTTCCTCCTCTCTCCCAGAACAACTCATTGCTACAAAGAAATCCTAATTATCACAATACAGGCAAGTATTCTCCAACACAAATGGTGACTTTAATAAAAAAAATAAGTGCTGTAACTCAGGCCCACTGACAGGCTGGGCATCAGGGACCACACTATCATTTTTATACAGTCCCTTTAGGGAATATATTCCTATTGTGTCTAATTAATCACATAAAGTCTCACAAAAAAAAATGTGTTTTGATTATTGTCCACAAATTGGGTCACATCAGTAGAACAAAACTCCTCAGAAGCAGCCAGAGCTATGGTGTCCTCATCTGGGACCCTGCTACAGGCTCACCCCTCCTCTCCACAGGGCTTAGGGAGAAACTTCCTGCTAAGCAGCTGCTGTCAGGCTGAGGGGGGAAAGTGAGAGCTCTCCTAGTCAGAAATTCCAAACAGCTCTGCTGGATCAAGGCTCTGTCCTTCACAATCACGTGTGTGAGCCAGTGCTGTATTTCCCACCCCAACTGCTCCAGCCTCCAAACCACAGCAAAGCAGGGATGGACACCCTGGCACAGCACACACCTACCTGTGGTACCTTTTCTTTTTTTAACTCTTTTCATATTTAACCAGTACAGATTATGAAATTATATTAAGAATATTTACATAAAGTTTAAATATCGTAGTTGTGAATAACTACGGAAAACCTGTATACTGAGCAGCCTCTTATCAAACCCCACACAGCATTTGTGACTGAAATAACGAAAGTAAAAGCAAAAAAATTAAATTTTGAAGGACCCGATCAGCTAAGTGCAATTTTCCCCAGAGTCTATTCCCTCAGGAGACATGCATTTAATTGAATAAAACAAAATTTCGACCAAAACCTGACAACTTACTGCTTTGTCAAGTCAAGCAAAAAAAGCCCAAACTAAAAAAAAAACAAACACAAAAATCGTAGCAGGGAGAATGCTTTAAGAGATGCGAGAAGAGAATAAATACAGTTTTAATCAAACTTGTCTCATCTTCCAGACCTAGAGGAAGCTTCAGTGTTAGAACTTGGGACCCACTACAATGCTTCTCCAGTAGATGTTCTGTGTTTGTCAGAAGTGAAAGCTGCCACAATGCAGCAGTGTGATGTCCTTTCCCTCACTCTTTCTCCCAAGCAACTGAATATTGTTAAATAGGAAAATAAAAATCCAATGGGGTCCATCATAAGATCTCTCCTAGATTTTGAAGAAACTGGCTTCTGCAACCATCAGATCAATAGAATGTTTTCACAGTTTTTAAAGGGATCTTTCTTCTGTTAAGTAACAGGAAAGCAAACATTCCTGTGTGGTTAGTTCTACCCAACAACGGAAGATGGAGAAAGAGAAAATGAAAGTGAGCCCAAGAGAAGCAGCCAGGCTGCATTCTCCAAGCTAAAAAGACAATTACACAGCTGGACCTCTAAAGTCAGTGTCTGTAATGACTCAATCTGTACTTGGGAACACGAAATAGTTTAAAAGCAGGACCTGGCTGATACTTAGACATCAACTAAAGGAACAACGCTGACAAGATTCTGCAACTCAGTTTAATTCTCTGTACATCAGGGTTGGGAGAGGAACGCTGAAACAACAGGACTACAACCACCCAAAACATTCTAATAATGTAAGGAAGGATGGCACACACATTAATACTGAGGTCTGTAATTAGAAAGCAACACTGACCAATTAGGAATGAGCATGATCTGACTAAAAAATAGCTCTAAGCAAGAGGTACAGCTTGCAAGACAAGAGAGTCACCCCTCACATGGCAAGAAAGCTTGAGAGAGAAGGGAAAGAATGCAATTACCACAGGCATGCTACTGACTTGGGAGTTACTTCTGGAGATACTTTGTCCTTTTCATGTACCTTTTATCACTGAATACCATAAATAAAGCCTAAAGATCAACACTGCTCTAGCCAGCTCACTAATCCCAAAATCACTTGTGATTGCAATAAAACAGACACCAACCCAAATAACTGTATATTTCTCCTCCACGCCATATATTTTAAGTGGGAAATGGTTCTTATTTCAATTAGCAACATTAATACAAGCCATAGTGCAAAAGACTGCTTTATATTTCTGATGGCAGAAATCCTCTTGATGGTCTTAAAAGTAACACGACAACTGACCTGGCAGTTTATTAACAAAGTTTTTTATGTACCATTAATAGCTTTTTATGTTTTTCAATGTCCCTTCAACAACTTTTCTGTTCAGTGTTGTATTCTGCAACGTGCAGCTATACTCTTTCTTCATAAAATAGGTTTCCAGGGCAAGGAAATCAACTAGAACTGTGTTTAAGGTCTTGAGAAGTTAAAGAGGATTAAGAGTTCTTTTTCTAAGAGAAGCAGCCAGGGTAACCTTTCAGAACACGAATCCTGACCCTTCAGGTTCCCATGAATATTTCCAATATTATGTTTCCCACCCAACCTCCCTGTCCTTTCTCTTGAAGTACCAGACTACCAATTCCATAATGACTCAAAAGACAAGCAATCTGAGATTTTGCCCTCCTACCTTGACACTTGAATCTTGTTCTAAAGGCAACTAGGAACAAACACAGTAATACTGCAAAGGAGACTATGACACACCACTACCTGATACAGCTACTTATCCTCAGGATTCCCTGATCCAGAGTATTTCCCAGGTACTACAGTTTAAGCAGTGCAGTATTGTGCCTCACAGTAATCAGTATGTCAGAATTCTCCTCACAACTCCTTTTTTTCCACAGCCTAAAACAAAAACTGAGGATCCAAGAGTAAACTAGGTTTTTGCAGAGCATATTTTGCTGTAGGACAAAGTGCACAATGGGTACTTCCAGCAGAACAGGTCTAATGACTTAAGAAAATAATTCAGATAGCTCATTTTCTCAAATTTGTCTGAAGTTATATATTATATTTGCAAATGATTGTTTCAAAAGTCTCTCCTAGACTATCCCAGGATAACTTCCAGGGGTAAAAAAAAAAAAAAGAATAGCAGCAAGAGCCTATCAATCTGAAGTTATTGCAAAGACCACTTCCACAGCAAAACGTTTTGAGCTGTACTGGGTTCAGGGCCACAAGACCTGTATAACACACTGCCTGCCTCTTACCAAGCAGCACACAACATCTGACCTGTCTGCTGGCTGAGCTACAACATCAGCATGTTAATGTAATCACTCAGGTGGCAGGATCTACCACATCCTCTGAACAGCTCAGCACTTACTTTCCCTCACTGTTTAAAACACACCTTCTAGATCAATAGCTCTGGCTGGTACAGGTTTTTCAGCCTGAACTAGTGGCATTTCAGCAGGCACCTGTTCTTACACAGCACCACGAGATACTTCCGATTTGAATCCACCTTTGAAGGGAAGGACTGGCTCTCAAACACCAACTCCAACAGAACCAAAAGACACCTGGGGGACAGCCTGTGCCACACGACCACACTCAGCACACAGCAGCCCGGTATCACTCCAGCTATTCAGGCAACTCTGTTTGCTACACGTTTGGAAAGAAAAGCAAGGGCTCAGACCTGCAGAACACCAAATGCCCCTTGGTCAGATGCCCCAAGGAAAACTCCCATACACTTTAACAGAGGAGTGAGTCTGCACTTGAGTCAGAGCTGGCACAGCAGTGCCTGAGCTGCACCAGCAGAAATCCCTCTGCCCTCACCCATGACCTAATATCCTGGGAAGAGAACTGAGAAGTGAAAGGGACTACAGCTGACTTACAGCACTAGTGTGGAAACTGAGTGTCTTCTTCCTTTTTTTATGGCTGTGATCTCCCAGAGGGAAGTTGTTCTCTTGCTGCAACTCTAAACAACAGCTGACCACTACTTCTGGTTTTTAGCACTGCATCAGACTAACACTTTTAGTCAGGTCTACGAACCTCCCTGTTCTTTTGCAGTCAAAGGACTCTTACAGATCTTCCAAAGCCTTAAGACACTGATGTTTTCAGCATATACTGACAATTACCCTGCCTGGTTTTGCACAGTCTGGAGGTTGGGAATGGGGCTGCACACCACAAGTTCTTCCACAAGACTGCCAGAAAACCAGAAGTGACTATGGTCAAAGATTACAGAAAGTTGCACAATAAAGTCATGTTACTCACCATCACCAGGCATAAACACATCAGAAGGGACTTCCTGTCATCCTCTTCCCTACGAACTGACCCTTTACATCTGCTACTGAAGTGCCTTTTCATTAAAAGTACTGCTTACAGATCTTCCTCCATCATAAAGAACAGACTCATGGTTTTATATAAAGTGCCTTGTATTATTTATAGGAGTTGTCACAAGCCCATCAGGACAAGCTCATACTACATAAACCAAAGTACTCCACCGCTAAATCTTGGTGGCTTTTCAATTAACTCTATTGTAGTACACACACACAGAGAAAGAAAAACTATTGAAAACCAAGGAACCATATGGATACCTCTAACTTAAAAAATAAAACCCAAGACTGAGTTTATGTCTCAACTCAAGAGCTGTTTTACCTGCAGGCAGGACAGCCACCAACTACTACCACAGAAGTGGTGGTAGCAGGCTGTTGAATAATGGTGTACGTGCTCGAATAGTTGGGCTGTGATGTCGGTGGAGGAACAGCATACCCTAAAATAAGAAAAAAACCTCAATCACCACAAGTAAGGCACAAAGAACAACGATAACTAAAAAGTACGACAACAAAACATGGAAAACAATAAACAGAAATGCAGTTTTGATTGAGCACTTTAAGACCTATCAAAATTAGAGTTGGAACACCGGGCACACTTAATAGCAAAGCCACTTCATAAACCCAAGTATCCAGAACAATTTAACCATCTCTAAGGGACACGGAGCTAATAATTAACTTCAAGAATTTGTTTCAGTGCTGTTGAGTGCCAGGAAAAAAACAGTTTAAACAATGACCACAGCTTTCACTTCTGAATATTATGTATCAAGTATGGCCCACTCTAGCACATAAATGAGTTGAAACAATGTATCTTCCTCTAGTTTCGAGCTTAAATTCCAATGCTCAGTTTATAACTGGAGAGGTAGGAGTGATAGGATGCAAGTAGAGAGGAAGCAGGATGCATCGCACAATAAACCCCCCTCAACTTTGAGAAAGCCCATGTTGTTAGGTAGAGAATGAGTCATGTTAATAGCTGTAGTTAGAAGACACAGGCCTTCAACTACTGCATTAACATTAAAAGCTTTAAATTAAAAAAAAAAGAAAGCTTTTTAAAGGGATGGTTAGATGTATGCGTTGTAATCAACACAGCCAAAGTACACTTTGCCCAAGTTCGATCCATTCCGAGCTTCTTTTGCAGGGCACAGTTCTGATTTTCTTGAATCAAGTTACACATCTGTAAAGTCCTGCAATCTCACTACTAAAACTGAAAATAATCAGTAAGACCTGTATTGTAGGAAAATAAGCTCCAAGTTATTAGGAGGAAAATCAATCTATGGCCTCAAGCTTCAACCCATGCTTGATGACTGGGGTCTGTGTCTGCTACGTAATTTTTATAACTTTTGAAGCATTCCTCTTTCCTGAGAGGCTACTTCTTTCTTTGAGAGGTGTTAGTTCAGCTAACAGAAGTACTGCATCTACTCACCTGCTGAAGTCCCTCCAAGGCTACTGAAGTGTACCAGGAAAAAACAAACATTAACCAGATTACAGCGAAATGCATGCAAAGAAAACTCCAAGTGTGGGGTCTGTTTTAGTCTTAGGGCGGCTGTGCCCCTGCCATTGTTCCGAGGCAGAAAACCCGCGCAATGTGAGCGATGCTCCCAAACTCCGCCGGTATTTTGGGGAGAGAACACAAACACAAACCTCGGGGCACCGAGGGAAGGAGGGAAGAGGGAGATGGCGCTGGGAAACTCCTGGATCGCTGCGTACCCGCCTCCCTGTGCGCCGGCTTCAAGCGGGAGAGCCGAGACACCCCCCGCGCCCCGCTGTGCCGGGGAAGCCGCTCGGGAGTTCCCCGGTGCGGCTCCGGAGCCCGCGGGGCACTCCCGGGGGCACGGAGGGCTCTGCAGAGCCGCCCCCCGGCCCAGCGAAGGGCGAGCACCCCGGGGACCCCCCAACCGCCCTGAGTCCGCCCTCCCCCGTCTCCTCCTCGGACCCACCTGCGGCGGGCGCGGTGCCCGGGTAGGGGTACGGCGGGGGCGGCTGGAAGCCGGGCTGCGGGGCGGGGATGGCGCCGTAGTTGCCGTGCCCGTAGTCGTATCCCGGCGCGCCCGGCGGCGCGGCGGGGCTGTAGGCGGGCGGCCGCTCCTGCAGCAGCGGCTTGCTGTCCATGCTGGGCCGGCGGCGCTACCTCGTTCCCCGCGGACGGGAGGAGGGGGGTGCCCGGCAAAGGAAGCGGCGCCGCCCGCCCCGCCCCGCCCGGGGGCGCCGGAGCTCGGGGGTGGGGGGGGCGGCGGCG